TTGTTTTCTCTTCTACTAGATCCATAGCATTTTATAAAACTTTCAGTATCCATAACATAGCAATAATAATAGTACCTCCCTTGAGGGGTTATTGTAAGGATTAAGTGAGAATTTTTTAAGTGTGATCAGTGTCTGACACATAACAAGTTCTCAATAAAAAGCTGGTTATCACTATACTGCATTTAAAGTTAATGCTTTTATTTACAAATTATTTTTAGTTGTTAAGAGCATAATGATCCAGATATACAGTCATTCCATTGTTTTTGTTTTGGATTAGTTTCTATAGAGTTAGCTTCTATAAGAATAATGTGTGTCTTATAGTATTTTACACTTTTTATAGTTTCTTTCCATGACATCAGAACACATGGCTTTGATAGAAAATCTATACATTTCTGTGAGTCCTTTTTAGTTACATTTTTCTTAAATGCTGACAACAATGGCAGTTAGTCAGGCAGAAAAGGAGTTCCATTTTGGTTAGTCCTATAGTAAAGAAGTGGGTATGAAAATTTGGCCACAGGAATTACGCTGAATACTGAAAGCAAAATTTTCTTTACAAAGTAAAGGTGCTAGATTAATCTTTTTTGCCAGCTGTCAAATAATTATTACATTTGTTTAAATATAGAAAGATCTCTAGTGTATGTTTGGTAGAAACTGCAGAGTGCAAAACCATGTGGAAAATACGTTCTGGTACACGTTTGGAAATAAATATCAACAGAAAGTTATATTGATAGAAATCCAGATATTTATAGATATATGTGTATGTTTATATAAGCCTAGAACATTTCTGGAAGGTTTTACAAGAAACTGTTAGTAATGGTTGTCCTGGAGAGAATAACTGAATAGCGATGTTAGATGAGAAACATTTTATTACATATTTTTTAGTACTTGTTAAATATTTTATTAGTATTTGACTTTTAAAATAAAAAGCTAGTATAAAAATCACCACTATCATGATCAATGATCATTTACTGAATTCTTACCCATTGTTAGCTAGACTTTATACTCATAGAAAGCAATGCTCACAAGCATCTTGCAAGGGAAGTAGAAGTTATACAGCTTGTACAATAGCTTGAGCAGAGCAAGTAAAGGACAGTTGTTTTTCCTGCCTTTAAGTAGAGTTTTCAGAAATTTATAATTCACAGTCACCAGTAGAGGCATTTAGCTCTTTACTAACATAGAAAATAAAAAGGATTTATTCAATTACGATCTCAAATCACTGGGATTACTAATTCTGTCAATATCTATCACACCTAGAGTTTCATTTAAGGTTGAGCCTTAATGTCTTTTGAACCTGTTTTTTATTTTACCTATTAGGATAATTTTGTCATATAACTTTTTTTCTCACTTGGAAATTACAATGAAAATTTACACAAAATCCAACTGGTTTCTGACTAACCATGTTCTGCCATTAAGTATGAATATACTATTGCTATTATAATTTTTAAAAGCATTACAATCATAGTTACAAAAAGTATTGCCTAGCTTATACTATGTCAATCACCTTCTATTTTTAAACAATTTAAGTAAACACAATTATTTATCTTTTTTGCATTCAAAATCTGTATTTGAGCATAATCATGTAAGTGTCTGAGTATCATCATATACTGTTTGTTCTATTGATGATTTCTAGTTGTGATTTGAGGAGCTACCATAAAAATGTCAAGGGCCACAAGGAGGTGGCAGCATAGCTGTAGCACACTGCAGGTTTCACTCCTTGTATTTGAGGGAGATAAAGCAGGAAACAGCTGAGTCAAATTCACTAGTAAGCAATAAAGAGATCAATTGAAGAAGGCACAGACTGCTACCATGGAGAAGCAGGCTAGACCAAACAATTTCAGCAACACGAGAACAGGTCTGGCTGCAGAAATGTGCCCATTGTAGCAGATTCTGTGGTTGAATCTGAATTCTGCTCCTAATTGGGCTATGTGGATACCTCTTCATGATTTAATCAAGATGAAGTTTCCTAGATAACTGAGGGTCAAGTCTATAAAAAGAATAGCTTATTACTATACTCGTTCAAAATGATTATTCAGAGCTTAGACCAAATATTTAATGTTTCGATTTGCCATTCCTTTCAGTCTGAGAATAAAAATGATTTAAGTCAAAGTTTAGTCTTTAGTTTCATTTTCTCTCTTCAAAAGTGATACAATATTCCAAACAGCTATCACTTTTGTCTAATGCAGCTGTAACATTCCTACTGTGTGGTCATTTAGATGGCTTTCTTTTTTTTTTTTTTTGAGGCGGAGTTTTGCTCTTTTTGCCCAGGCTGGAGTGCAATGGCATGATCTGGACTTAACTTGCAACCTCTGCCTCCTGGGTTCAAGTGATTCTCCTGCCTCAGCCCCCAGGTAGCCAGGATTACAAGCATGTAATTTTTACTTTTTTATTTTATTTTTAGTAGAGACAAGATTTCGCCACATTGGTCATGGCTGATCTCGAACTTTTGATCCGCTCACCTCAGTCTCCCAAAGTGCTGGGATTACAGGCATGAGCCACCATGCCAGGCCTTTAGATGGCTTTCTAATCGTCTGTTCCTTCAGAGCTTTTCTCTCTTTATGAAAGATTTACATAAGCCATGGCTTTTGCAATTATAAATAAGCTACTTTTCTCTGTCAGGAATGTAGTCCTGAGAGCAATGTGAATTTATTCCATTTCTTTTTTAATTAAGTTAGAATTCTATTTTCTTTTGTTGTAAATTGAGGAAGTAGATGAATGAGAATATTTAAATTATGATACTAACTTTAAAAAAGGAGGCAGCTTTAAAAATTATCATGTGTGATGTGGTATTGTGGGATAGAATTTCAGGTCTTTTTTTAAAAAGAACTTTTGTTCGTTTTAATTCTTCAGAAAAAAATTGAAATCTCTTTTTATAATGCCCTATATTTCTCTTTCTGCCCTTTCTATGTCTTGGAAACTCCTGGTGCCTGCTTCTGTCAACTTTCTTTTCCTTTTTCTTCTCCTTTTTCTGCCATTTTCCTTTTCTCTCCCGCACATAGAAAAGGACAGTGACACCTCTGCTGGATTTCAAGAATTTAAATTGCCTGCCTTCCAAAAAATCTTCGTGGGGGCTGCTACCATGTTGTCTGAAATTGTCGTATTGCTAACTTCTTTTGATTAAAGCATCAAATATGCCAGATAAAGTCTAAAACTTATGTCTATAAAGAAATCAGCCATTTGGCAGACTGTTGCTGATTTAGTAGACAGGACTAGCAAGGTTTGGTGGGGAAAGGGGATAAGGAAACAACATTAAGAACATGGGCTCCTCCTCGGGAAGTCGCTCAGTCTCTGGGGGTAGGATCCAGAGTCAGGGACGCTAGTAGCCAAGGCAAATACATTTTGGAGATGGATTTTCTTGTGGAAGGAAAGGTGAGCAGAACCTAAAGAAAGATTTTCCCTCTTATTAGCGTCTTTCCCGAGAGCAGTATTCCTAGACTCTCTGGAGGGGATGATCACTTAAAACACTGAAGGAATCAATGGATGAATACGTACAAAAACAACTATTTCAGTCATTTTCTTCTCTCTCTTCAACCTGAGCAAGAGTAAACTCATTTGAATATGTGACATCTAATCATTCTTTTTAGTAGGTAATTATGTTCCATTAAGAATGATATTTATTCCAAACTTGTCTGAAAGAGCAGGAAGATAAAGCTGATCAATATATTTTGGAGAAAGTTATGGAAGACAAAATCTACTAAGTTATAAGATTAGCAAAAGTGCTGCTTCCTACTTCTAACAGACTTAGGAACCCTGGCTATATTCCTTAAATAATGAAAAGTTTAGCCACTTCTGCTGCTTCTGTACTTAAATTTAATTTAGTTATTTTTATATACTTAAGCACATTCAGGAGCCTCAGGCAAAGTTTTAAAGTGAAAGGGATAAAATGCTCAATCTTATAAATCTCTGCTCTCTCTTTAAAGAATATAAAAAATACCCGTATACACTAAAGGCTGGCACCCACAGTGTTAACTACTGTGAGCACAAGTGTTTTGCTTTTTATACAGTTGACATGGAGACATTAATACTGATGTGAAACCAGCTTCGTATTCAGTTTGACATGTTTAACCAAGTGTGAATTAAATAGACTATAATCGTAAACAAGGGAGAACATAACATATAGAGTTAGTTCTTTAACTAACTCATGCCTAACATTTAGAGTTAGTTCTTTAGTTCTCTATCCTAAGTCAGAAAATTTGTGGAGCCCAGCACAGCGGCTCATGCCTGCAATCCCAGATCTTTGGGAGGCCAAGGTGGGAGGATCCCTTGAAGTCAGGAGTTCGAGGCCAACTTGAGCAACATAGCAAGATGCTGTCTCTACAAAAAATAAAAAAGTCAGGTGTGGTGGTGCATGCCTATAGTCCCAGCTACTCAGGAGGTTGACGTGGGAGGACTGCTTGAGCCCAGGAGTTCAAAGCTGCAGTGAGCCAGTGTCTCACTAACACACTTCAGAGCTTGGGTGACAGAGTGAGACTTTGCCTGAAAAACTAAAAAAAATTAAAAGAAAGACTGGGTGTGGTGGCTCATGCCTGTAATCCCAGCACTCTGGGAGGCTGAGGCAGGTGGATCACGAGGTCAGGAGTTTGAGACCAGCCTGGCCAAGATGGTGAAACCCACTTTCTACTAAAAATACAAAAATTAGTCGGGCATGGTAGCAGGTGCCCGTAATCACAGCTACTCAGGAGGCTGAGGCAGAGAATTGCTTGAACCTGGGAGGCGGAGGTTGTAGTGAGCCGAGATCATGCCACTGCACTCCAGCCTGGGCAACAGAGTGAGACTCCGTTTCAAGAAAAAAAAAAAAATTCCAAAGAAAAAAGCACCTGTGAAATGCTTTCTTGTGTATTTTCTGCTTACTGAAAAGTAGGGACAGTTTTGTAAGTAAGATGGATGGTGTTTGGAATAGACTTCTCCTTTGACTGTTTCACATTCATAGTGTAATGAAAGAGAAGGAAATGACCTGAAGTTATGAATAAGGGAGGACACTTGCCTGCGTCCTTCAAGCTTACCTTTGCGAGTTGCTCGTGAATCTCAAGCAGGCTGGGTCGGCTGGCCTTGGGCCCACTGACGCTGCCAGTGTTGCGATAGTACTCAATCTTGGGAACCGCATCCATGGTGTTGTGGCCAAAAGTTTGTAGGTAGTATGTCTTTGTGTGAGAATCATAAGCATGAAAACTGGAATCTGTTTTAGCAGTTTCTCCACTTTGGAGGAAATTGTCATAGCACTCCTGATTCCCAGGCCTAAAGCTGATTCTGAGTCTTTTCTGAGCTTCATCCCCAAAAGAGGTTTCTTCGTAATGTGGTGGATCAGTGTCATCATTTGCAGCTGCACTGCTCTCATGGTTCTCATTTATGACATTAACTTGAAAGCGATTGGTATTACTGGGCACCGAATCCAGAAATATATTGGAAGAGTTGTTCAGTGACATCTTCCAAAACTGATTTTTTAGTGAGCTATCTACTTTATGGTTGTTTTAAAAAATCTATATACTTCTTCCTCAAAATAAACACTAATGTGCTTCCATTAGGGAGCTCTTGGCTTTTGTTCTAGATGATTCAATAAATAGATTCTTGATATATTGTCTCCTACATAATCTTCAGGATGTTCTTCAAAGCTGTCATTGAAAAAGAAAATTAAACTTTTTCTGAGTAATACAAATGTATTTAAGTAGGGTGGGATATAAGGGAATAGTTTTCTTTTACAAGACATATAGTTTTAAATTCATTTCAGTAAAATTTATCAGTGCACTGGAGTTCACTATGACTCTAGAAAAGATGTAATTCTACCTACTGAATACAGTAAGAACTGACGAGAATGTTCTCAGCCTAAGACATAGTTGGCCGACAGTACTAAATGCTAAAACTGCAAAGTATTCTGATAGGAATGACAATATATGAAATATAAAACAAAAAAACCAAGACTTCTAAAAAATATGTTTTTGCTAGTTTATAAAAATCTGTACATGTTCAATTAATAAATTTGTTCCAAATTTTGTTACCTATGCAACAAGTGAAAAATTATGTTTTAGAATATGTATTTAAAAAATACATCCCATCAGGATGATGTCTGTAAATTCTTGGAACTTTTACTATTCTTTAAAATATTTCATTTGCTCATACATTTGTTTGTTTTGCAAATACTAACATGAAAACCTAAAAAAATATAAGTATTTGGGGTAAAGAAATAAGTCACAGCCCGTAAAAAAGTCCTTGGCTATATTTAGGTAAAATACTCATGCTCTACTGACTCATTTTAATAAAATGTCCTAAATAATTGAGTGGCTTATATTTGACTGTGAGATGAATAGACTTCATAATAATTTTCACAATTTCATAGTACTGGCCTGTCTTAAAACATTTTCTTTAGAATTATGTTTCCTTATTGATATCTTATCATTCGGCTTTTCAAGGAAAGTTCTAGAAAAATGAGATAAATATAAACAAAAATTTGCCTCTCTCATGCAGTTATTAAAGCTGTGTCTTTGCATTAAAAAAACCCCTCAACTTTATTTCCCAAGTAACATTTCCTGGGGAAATTATAAGTGAAGCTATTATCTTTTTAGTTTTTACAAAACACTTCTGTTCATAGTCCTTGACACCCTCACCTACTCTTTAGATTTTACTTTATGACATAATATTAAGTATGATTTTTACCCTGCCCAGAAATGCTCAACTTACCACCAAGGAGCCTTCTTCTGAGGAAACGTAACGTGCTTCAGCGTCACCCAGGACTATATGGGGCACTTAGCTTTCAGCTCAGAATGTTAGGCTTCTGCTTATTGGTTAGAAACTTTCTTGAAAGAGTTGGCTGTGCAATGATTGGCCTGGAATAGTACTGTAAGCCCACCCAGTCATTAGCCCTGAGGAACCTTAAGTACCACATCAATTGGTAACTAGTAGTAAATCATTAATCCTTTTAGACAGAAAGTAACGTAGAGTTTCTTTAATTCATAAGGAGAATGGATTGCTTAACAGCAATCATCCAAAAAATATGAGCATTGCGTTAGTCATTTGGGACTAGATAAACTGAGTTTCACCGTCTTATTTCAGATGAGTGCTAGTGACTTCCTATTGTTTAGCATGTGTATCAAAATACAGCTCTCCAGAGCGAATTTCTAAACTCTGTACTAGAAAGTAGTATCTGAAATGATTTTATCTTGCTTGTAGTAGATATTACCTTGACTCTTCTGCCTGGGAAGTAAGCAGATTGAGAGTGGAATCAGTGATTTATTGAAAACCTTTCTACGTATGGGAAAACTGTTTTTTGTTTGTTTTTGAGACGGCGTCTCGCTCTGTTGCCCCACGCTGGAGTGCAATGGCACCATCTCGGCTCACTGAAATCTCTGCTTCCCAGGTTCAAGCGATTTTCCTGCTTCAGCCACCCAAGTAGCTGGGATTACAGGCGCCCGCCACCAGGCCTCGCTAATTTTTTGGTAATTTTAGTAGAGGCGGGGTTTCACCATAATTGGCCAGGTGGTCTCGATCTTTTGACCTCAGGCGATCGCGCCTCAGCCTTCCAAAGTGCTGAGATTACAGGTGTGAGCCAACAGGGAAAACTATTTTAAGCAGGAATCAGAGTGTGGGTAAGTATCCCAGTGGCACTACTAAATGACCTTTCTGTCTCCGACTGGAAAAACAATTTTTTGTCAAACTGAATTTTTGAGTTTCGTTGAGGAAAAGGTTTTTCTTTTTCAGATCTTCGAGTAGGTGATTATTAACACAGCAAACAATTCCTCTCTCAGGTCCGTCACTGATTTTCACTCAGGATGATTGAATGAGTCCTCTTTGTTTCTTGTAAGAAATGATTCAAGTGATTTCCAGTTGTCTGGGTAGCTTGGTTGTGGTGTAATATAGTGGCTAGGAGCAAGACTGAAGTCAGAAGGCCCAACCTATGTCCTGGCCCTGCCACTTGCTGTCTGTGTGAACTCAGTCAAATTACTCAATCTTTCTGTGCCTTAATTTTTTCATCCGCAAATGCAGATGTGGATAATAAGGGTACCTACCTTGTGGTAGAGTTATTGTGAGGAATAAATGAGTTAGTTTGCGTATGAAGTTTAGAACAGCAACAATTCGTACCTAATGCTTGCTCTCACTATTTTAGCACTGTTTACAATTAGCCAGAGATTTTTACTTAGCACATTCAAGATTTTGAGGTGGATCATTAGTGATTGGGATAGATATTATGTCTATAAAAATATATGTAAAAGTTAATGAACTGAAACAGGATTATAGAAGTCTCTAGAGATACCCTAAGTAAAATCCTTTAGATTCTCTTTGTCAGGTAAATGTCATGCTAATCAGTCAGGCTAATACTGTGAGGCTATGTCAGAAATAGAGACAGAATTACAAGGATGTACCTATAACTCATTCTACTCTTAAAGGCCACCAGTATAAGGCATTTATCTGTTAAACAAAGGGTTCTGACTCCTCATATAGAAAGTGTTTAGGCATAGGAATGGCACATTTCAAATTCAGGTGGGTGGGGCTGGTTGTTTAGATCAAGACAAGGGACAGCTAGGATGGGGCTGGGACCCAAAACAAGTTCCAATTCACCAGACCAGGACAGAAGCCATGAGCTGACATCCTCCAACCCTTTGGGGAGCCACTTACTCTGCAACCTTCTTCCTCTACCAATGACTGTGAATACTTCTGATACCAGTCGATTTCTTTTTTCTTTCTGACTGACTGCCTGACTTCAGAGTAGTACGAATTTGTTTTAGTCTTGGTCTTACATCAACCAGACATTTTCATTCTAAGCCTTTTATCTCTCACTGTGAAATGAAAGTCTTTGTTCTCTATTAAGGGGATTTAGGCATCCTGGAACAAATGGGAGATGGTTTTCAGGGATATGGATGAAATTACACCATCCGTAAAGCCAACCTTGAAAGGTGAATCTGACTTAGGCCTTTCAGACATGCGGGAAAGGTAACAGAAGCAAGCTATCTTGAGGTATGCTCCTCTATCTTTCCTCCTGTCCTCTGTGACAAGGCTTTTGGGAAGGGGAAGCTAGAGGCTGATCCAGAAGTGACATTGAACATCTATTCCTAGAATAATTAACATTTCATGAAATTTTCATGTTGTTTTCACATTGTAACCAGACATTGTAGTTTCTGGTTCTGAAGCTACAGATGCTGACTTTCTTACTGCCTCCACTCCCCCCCGACCAAAAAAAAATCTAGGGCACCCAATAGACCACAAATAAAAACCACAGAAGAAGACTCTTTTGGTTAATAGAATTTTTCTTTAGTGGATTTGGAAATAATATTACGGCAGAGTTGATATACTTGAAAAGCTTATGGGAGTTGAACTTCCAGAAACAATGCTCATGTGGTATAAAGTTTTCCTGCCTCTTGGTTGTAAGTGTCTTTCTTCCTTTGAAATAAAGTTCTGGCCTTGTGTTGTTCTAGTCATCAAAATGGAGGGTCTTCTCTGGGATACAAATGAAACACCTGGTACTTTAAAAGCCTTGGTCTCCAAAGAGACATCCAGTTTCCTGGCACAAATTTCAGTATGTTCAACTGAACTTGGACCAGTGACCTGTTCTTGGGCCAAGTTACTAACTGACTATAAGGTGTACCAGGCCTACATTCTTGAACCAATTAGGGTACAAAGAGTCTCCCTGAGGTGAGGATTTGGTCCGGAAGAGTCACAGCTAATTATAGATATGTTCTAAATCGATTATGAGAGGGAAAGCATTGAGGAAACTCATATAGAGACTGCTGGTTTTGAAATGCCAAAGACTTGAGCAGTAAGCATGTCTATAAGCTATGTAGAAGTACTGAGGACATTGTCCAGGGATACAGCAGAAATTAAACTGCCCAAGTTCAATCCCTAACTTAACCATTCCCTAGCTATGATGACCTCCGGAAGTTAGTTAATTTCTCTCAGCTTCAGTTTCTTTTCTGCAAAATTAAGATTAAAAATAAAATGGAAATAGTAGTCCCAAACTCAAATAATTGATAAGACTATCAAATAATTTGAAAGTAACCAATTTAGTGCTAACTCTTGGTAATATTACTCTTGTTTCTTCTTGGTATGTTTTGCAGTTCTGTGTTTTCAAAGGACATAAATATTTTTGTATTTATCTTCTGCTATGTTTCTCCATTCTGACTCATAGAGAGTCGGAAATTAGTAGTTGGAAAAAAATTTTAGAACTATATAATTCTATCTTTTTATTTCTCATTTGAAGAGAATGAAATACTAGAGAGTGAATAATTTATACTAAGCCATTGCTTCTTAGAGTTTGAGAATCTCTATTACTGCTACTGATGAGGATAATAAATAATGAGAGCAAAGTATGTGTAGATACTGTTTTATGGTTTACAAATTGCTTTGACATTCATTATATCTAATTGACCCTCTAAATATTCCTGAAGATATGCAAGATGGGTTTCTTAATTCTTATTTTGGAAGATAGGTTCCCCTTAGATAACTTCCTGGGTCGTAAAGCTAGTTCTTGGCTAAGCTAACATTAGAATTCAAATCTCTGAGTTTAGGCTCCTAATCTGAAAAATTTTTCATGATACATTAAATCCTCATTCATTTCAGATCTCTGTGTTTTCAGGTACATTTGTAGTATTCATAGGGCTCTAGAATTGGACAGGATGTTAACAATCCTCTTCTCTGAAGCCCACAGAGACTAGATGACTTACCCATCAGAGCATAGCTCTAATGGTGGCACAGCTGAGACTGTGTTTGTTTCTGCTTAGAGTACTCCTTCTACTAGGTCATGCTGGAAACTCCCTTTTAAATTCTGTTTATGCAAGGGGAAGCAGAGGGAGCATCAGTATTAGGCAGGTCTGGTTTGGATTCCAAGCTATGGGACTTTACTTCAAGAAATTCAATAAAGAGAAGAGATAGGAGGGTCAGGGCTTTGTGAAATTTGGGGACCTTTAGGGCCTGTGACTACTTGTAGGCTTTGGATATTAGTTTGTGAGTTATTCTTTTTTGTTTTTATCTGTGGACCTTTTTGACCTATGGCTATTATTAGAAAAATAATACTCTGATTATTCTTCAGACTAAATTTTCTTATGTTTAAAACCTGACTCACTAAAGCTAAAGGGGCCTGAGTCTGGAATGTGGAGAGGGTGTCTGGTCTTTGCAGAGGGGAGAGAGCAAGATGCCTTTTGCACAGTTTATTAGCACAAGAAAGGAAGCAGAAATTCAAGGCAGTTGTGCAAAACAAGAATAAAGGTGGTAAACATAGCTGCAGCCATCCTTATGCTCTATTCACTGGAAACCTCCAAGTAGAGACAGAGGAAAGTGAGGAATCCCAACAATAGTTTATCATTTGCTCAGCATGGTGAAGAAATCAGTCGCAGATGTTTATTGAATTCACCAAACAAAATGAGCCTCTCTCAGACACACGCAAGGTAATTGCAAATGTATCCAGAATGTGTCCCAATGGTGCAACCATAAAAACCGTATAGCTGGAACTCTCACGCGAGTGCATATTCAAATGTCCCTTTATCAAACTCTTCAACTTCATCTTCCCATGTAGAGGAAGGCATGCTGCTATATGGGTCTAGCAGGATTTTGAAGCATCTGATAATAAGAAGTCCCAAGAAGATACACAAAATCCCAACAAAAGCAAAGCCAGTTTTTTGCTCCAGAGTCAATGAGAAAGCTGATACTTCGTTGACACTCATCTTAGCTGAAGAGTTGCCACAGTAGGTACTACTCATTATTCACTGGCACATGGTTGTGGCTCTTCACAATTCCATCTGGAATCAACTCTTGGCCTAGGTACAAAATTGGACTCAGTTTAGTTTTATCCTTGTATGG